TGACAGCATTGTGTTTAAAATAAACACAGAGGAGGAGCTGTTCACAGACACTCTGGTCTGTTGTCATGTGTTTGTTTGTGTGTGACAGAGAGAGAGAGCAGGGCATGGAGGAACTAAGCGAATACATGCGCTATGCACAGCACCACACTGTCAATGTATGGGAAACACTGCTTGGTCTGAAGGATTTGCATCACCAATGAGAATGTCTGTGTGAGAGGATAAATGAAAACTAGGTGAAAATGGGATTCAAGCAGATAATGGAATTAACCTAAACTACGACATTCTATCATAACAAAGGACCCCAAAAAAACTGAAGGGGAGACTCAGTATGGTAATAGAATTAGACTAAATCTTGCAGTACTGTTAAACACCCCCTCAGGAAAAAGAAATGCATGATATTATCATATCACACTATCATTTTTTTATTATTTAGCACATGAAAGCGGAACCTTGGCATTAATAGTTTATAATAATTCTTTTCTGTGAGCTGCATAGGCTAATTTATCATCCAGGCTCTTTTTGCGCTGATCTGTCACACTCGACAGTTCAAGTGTTCTTCACTCAGTAGAGTCTAATCGATTTCTAATTGATTTTATTTTTCTTTCCTAATGAAGAAACACAAGTAAAAGCAGATAGTGTTTAATCTTTCACCCAGGTTACTTTGAGATTAAATTAGCACTAATTTCTGCACAAATTTTTCTTTAACTTGGATCAAAAACGACATTGCATTCATTTTTTTTTTTTAAATGTGTGAACTCCTGCTCAGTCAACTTGTTCTTCCTCCCTCGCTCTCCATCTCGACTTCATCCAAACCCCTGTCTCGTAGCCATGCAGTTCGGCCAGCTGCTGACCCACCTGGACACCACTCAGCAGATGATCAACAACTCTCTGAAGGACAATAACAGCCTGCTAACACAGGTAGGAGGTTCAAGCTCTGATGAGCAACTGGGACGACATAAATTATTTTTTTTAACACTGCTATAGTGTTTTAACAATTGTGGCTGCTTAAATGTTGACTTAATGTGTGAGCTACACTACCAGTCAAATGTTTGGGCACACTTTTCCATTCAATTCAGAAAGCAGCAAAGTTCTAGTGTGGCCTTCCATAGACTTGCTTTGTATTCAGAGGCTTTAGAAGTTTATTGGATTTGATGTCAATATGCTTTCACCAAAAACATCATTCATTTTACAGCAAGCCCAGTTGTTCTGTAGCCTTCTGGAACATCAGTGGCCTTTGAGGTTTTTCATTAGCTTTTTCAGTATTTAGGAGTTATGTAATTCTATTTAATAGGGCTGCAATCGATTATTTTTCTCACTTAACCTGTCACATACTTTTTGATAGTCTCTGAAATGTAAAGGGTGAAAATCTGCAAATGTCTTCCTTTTTCCAACCAACTCTACAAAATCCAGATATTTAATGTACTGTAATAGAAAACAGAGGAAACCTTTCTGTAAGCTCCTTTGCTTGCCATTGTACTCTTTTGCTCTTCTTCAATTATGCCCTTTTTAAATCTCTCTGCCTCCCCCATCTCCTTACATATTCTCTTTGTGTATTTTCCTTTCTCATGTCAAATTCATATTATCACTCCTTCTCTCCACCATACATCTGCTCTATCAATATCTCTCTCCTCTACACTTGTACACCTGCATGCCTCACCAACTCTTACAACCTCCTTTCTTCCCTCTTTCACCTCACATCAACTTTTCACCTTCCCCCGTCTCCCCCTGCAGGTCCAGCAGACAATGAAGGAAAACCTTGTTGCTATAGAAGAAAACTTTGCTGCACTAGATCAGAGGATGAAGAAGCTCTCTAAATAAACGGTGGCCTAGTCTGGGCCAGTCCAGGAGAGTGTAGAACATGGACTAAAGAGAGCTGGTTAGAGAGCACAGAGAGAGGACTGGGGTTTAACTCTGTCCTTTCTGGCCATCCCTCTCCTGCTCTTTACTTTGCCTCTGCCTTTCTTCACTAGGTGAGATGTTAGAAAGTTGGAAAAGATGGAACATCAAGAAAAGAGACCAAATGTTCTTCTCTGCCCTCCTTCCTTTCTCTTGCATCGAACTGAAAACATATTTCCCCTCTGTATAACATGCCACCGATCGCAGCCCCCCTGTTGAACCTATCGAGTTTTAGACTGAATTGTTTTTATGATTAGGATTAAACATAAGAAATTCTCCTTTTGAATCTTCACACTACTGCTGGATTTGTACTGTATCGTTTGGTCAAATTAAACAGATCACAGCATCGTTGGGTTGATATGACACATCACTGCTGTTGTCAATGGTATAAAAGATCAAAATCAAGATGTTGTCACCTGGTTGTTGTAGCAGGAGCACGTCTGTGTGAGTATCAGGGCCAAGTCACAGAAGGAAAGCTTGTAAATTTGCCTGTATACCCAATTCTTTCTTCAAGCTCAGTCACTTGTAACTATATTATTAGGACTGACTCCAGATGTCACAGATAAACTTTTAATCTGCTTTGTCATTGCCTACAAGTCCACTGTGTTGTTCATCTGTGATCATAGAAACTGATCAATAAAAAAATGTGCTAGGCCTGACTCATTTCATAAGATGTTTTTAATGATTACATAACCTCTGACAAAGCTGCTCACCTCATTATTGTATTGGTTGGATGGAAAATATTTAAAAACCAAGCTACTAAATGTATTAGAACTTATAAAGCAGGTGGACTTGTATTACCAGATGCCTGAACAGTTTGAAGATTAATGAATGTAGGACTGATGTAACATTACATACTAAGTTGTAGGTGTGAGCACAACGACAGGCTCCTGGTAAAGAGCTGGTATTGGGAAAAACATGGCCATTTTACTTTCTCTTGTAAAACATTTCACATGGAGATTATCACATTTGTCTTCTAATTAAAATTTTTAACGTGATACACAGACATGTATTATTCAAATCAAAAAGGAAAAAAAAATATATAAGATTGTTATGCCCATTTTTGAACACTAGGTGGAGGCATAGCATCTTAAAAGGCCAAGCTTGCATTATACAGATATTTTAATGCAAATTATTCCACCATACTTTTACCTTTTCTATTTCATTTTTTTTTTATTAACAAGTAATTCTAGTCTATGTGATGCTGTCAACAAAAGAAAAATTGTATTCTAAATTGCATTTTAAAAACTTGATAGGATAATTTTCTAGGAATTAAAAACTTTGACAGTAAACATAGCCATAGCTGTACTTGACAGGCTGTGCCAGAAATGATAGCACACCTTGGTCTATTGATCTCAGCATGGTGACTTGAAATTGCTAGGGACTAGTCTGGCACTCGCAGAGTAAATTAACAGAAGGCACTCGCTGAATGACTCTGAGAGGTCAACCTCAAATCCATCAGGCATTAGCAGGTTTATAAAAGTTAAAACAAAAACCTGGCTCATGTTTGATGTCAGGTGATGCGTTTAGTGACAAAGACAGACAGATGAGCTACAGTAGGGCAACAATCAGGTATTTCTGATGAGTCATTCAGACACAGCTGTTCCAGTGAGTTAAGTGCCACTGCAAGCCACCACAACTGGATTAATAGTTTACTGGGAAGCAGCGAGAGAACTGTCAAAAGAAACAGAAGGTTGGTTTATGACAACTGCTGACAGAAACCTTGTGTGTCACTGGATATTTAGGCTCTGAATTAGACAAAACACTTCATAAGCTGCTGCTTTTACTTTAGCTAATAGCTTATATGTAGCTACATTGTATTGCTTGTATCAGAGATTTCAGAGAAGATTAAGAGCCAAGTATGGACCCTGGCCTACTTATGGGGGAAGTTGAAGAGTGGCCTACACGGACAGGACATATTAAGTGTGACTTACAGGGAACTGGATCCAGAGCTCCAACTTAGAAGGGAATGCCCCAGTTGAGCACAGAGACATACTCTGTACTGTATATCATGTTGTACTGCATTTGTCCTTCTATTTTTGGTGTACAAGATGGGGTCAACCCAGTCCCATCTGTTAAGACACACAATTCCACAGAATTACCAACTGTGGATTGATCGAGGGTTTGGCTCAACATGTCGCTAACAGTGGCATTAAGTATTACAGTTTTACTTCAGACTGCAGTTTGTCCTGTGGCCCTGAACAAGGAGAAAAGGAAAATAAATGATTAAACAGAAGTCCTACTGAAAAACAACAAATTTTAGCCATATGGTATGAATCAAAGAGAGCATTTAGTAATATAGATATCAGTTAATTTGCAGCCATTCTTTGCTCTACAATAGAAATAGAGCTACATATACACTACCAATCAAAGTTTTAGACACTTTCCCACTGAATTGAATGGGAAATTGTGTCTAAACCTTTGACCAACCTTTATGCGACTGAAACTTACAAATATTTAAGTGTTCTGACAGCACAGAGCAACTAGAGGCTGTAGGGAACTCCTCCAAAATCTGTTTCTGGTGCGGACATGGGGGAAACTAAAGGGAAGAGAAGAGAAGAGAAGGTTGGAGTAGGAGCCTAGAGTGTGTATCGCGCTGCCAGTATACCCACCTGTTCAGACAACCTTTTAAATTTTAATGCCCTACAGTCTTTTGCTTGGGCTTGCTTTTTTGCCTTTTTTATGTTTTACCTTTCACATATATGTGTGACAGGAAATGTAGAAATCAAGGCACTGATAGTGGTTTTAGATGGTGAAAATACTACCTGCTTATTCATGGTGGTACAGTAACGTAGAGATTTTTGATACAGTGTAACATAAATCGTAAAAATAACTTGATCAAAACAATATGAATAAATATGAGTTTAATCATTTTAAATGGTTGTAAAAATGGTTACAGGTTTAATGTAATCAAATATTTAGCAAAATTCCATTGGAATATATTTAAACACTAATATTACCTCTATTTTAAACAACGACAGGAAAATTTCTAAGAACAATGCTGGAAATAAGTTGGAGTCAAGGAATACTGCATCCGTTATTATTCCTAAATGGCTGTGGCCAGGTGAGGAGCCTGTGGTGAACCAGACAGAATGACGGGGGTGGGTGGAGGTAAGCAGAGTAAAATAGGGTGGATACTGTTGTGGGGCAGAGTGAGTGAGGGTTGTAGTGAATGAAAAAGGGAAGACAAAAATGGTAGGGTAAAGACAGGTGACACTCAGTCGTAAAGAGGGTTTAACAGACTAACAGGATTGTCTGCAAAGTCATCCTGAAGCCTCAAACGCAGAATTCTCAACAAGTGGATGTGACATACAGCTGTTAAATCTGGACAGGGCGAGATGGGATTGAATGGATAGTTTGTAGCTCTTACAAATAAACTACAAATAATTACTGACTTTATGGGCATTAAGACCGTTTGCTGCTTTGCGTGAATGCTTACTTGTAAAGGAAATGACAGATGGGGAACCTCATGAGGAAATATAAGACAAATTAATTAATTTGATCATCTTCACGCAGTAGAGAACTGCAGTATTGGCTGCGGCTAAGATGGGCATTGGCATAAGAGATGAATGTAGTTACAAGGGGGACCTAAAGCTTAAACACAAAGCACCGTGAGCTGTGACTGTTGGAAAATTAGCCCAGTTATATTGCCCTAAAATATCACCTGTACATCAAAAATCTTTAATTCAAAACTCAACTCAACTCTAAACATACAAAAAGAGATTTTCAGACTTTTTTAGAATATTTCTTTCCCAGATTTCAGCATTTGGCAGAATTTCTGATAAAGTGATGAGTACCTTCTGCTGGTTTACAGGAAAAAAAAAACTTACTGTATCACCAGTACATGATAACAGCTCTATCAGTTGGTCTCAATGCAGAAAAGGGAAGATTTCCGACAGCTGGTGTGGGTGTGTGTGTGTGTGTCAGGGGGAACTGGGTGTGGAGCCTTGACCAAGGGCACAAGACAGAAAGATGGGAGTGTGGTGGCTGGAAATTTCCCAGACTCTTTGTTTCTGTAAAACTAAGAAAAACAACAGCCAAGATTTGATTCTGGGAGGATAACTCGAAACAAAATTGAACACCATTGTCATTAGTGATCTGAAATTTCAAACCCCGGTATTTGTTCTAAATCAACGTGGCAGTGTAACAAAGAAAAGAAAAATCCTCTGCCCACGCTTACACACCATAAATTAAATTACAATTTTCTTATTCATTATCATTGTAAAATGTGGTGGTTCTATTTGTTTTGCATTAGAAACAGACAGTACATATATAGATATTATACTGACATGCTATTAGAGCCCGGTAAAGTTATGTGGGCATTACTGCACAGTGTTTTGTTTTGCTTGTTTAATAATGCATGATGCAATATACGGTATGATATACAGTAGTTGTACAGTGATAATGTAGGTCTGCTAACAAAATCTGTTATAAAAGAAATATATTTAAGTTATTAAAGACTAGGCAGACAGAAGGTATTTAGTGAGACTAGGTTACAGTGAGTAAAACATTACAGCAACACCATAGCATCTCCAAATACAAAATCTGACATGGACAGACATCAGTTTTGAGCTGTCAGCTCAGCTCACTTGAAAAGTGTCATTTAGAAAAACAACAGAAGACAACAAATGACAGAATAATGGATTCATAGTACATATACAGTGTAATATATAGCTTGGTGTATATTTGTTTATTATGACAATCAAAAAACAGGGGACCACAATTATCACACTATACTGAAAAAGAGGCTACCTAGATCTGGGCTTGTAAACACAGTTTTATAATGAATACAACACAGACGACGGGAATGACAAAATAAACAGACGGCAGGGGCGGAGAGGGAGGGGTGCAGAGAAAGTATGCTGAACTACTCAGCAACAGCCACTCAAGTCGTGACGTGTTCACGGTGCTTCCTGCAGCGCTTTAACCCGGGTCCTAGAGACAGTATTTGAGCTTTCTATTCGCTACTTGGCGCTGTTGCTATGGGGCTGCGCATGTTGAGCCGTGCACGTTGCACCGTGCATGGGAAACACTTTGTGTGTGCTGAGTTTGGGATTATGGCAGAAAGTGTCAGGAGCGGGGTGAGGAGCCCGCATCAAGAGTGGAGCATGATGAAACGTGTCTGTTTTTGTTGTTTGTTTGTTTGTTTGTTTGCTGCTGTTGTTGTTGTTGCTGCTGCTTAATGGTTATGATCCAGTATTACAACCATCATACAATAACATGTCTGCTGTTTGGCTCCTTGTGTGTCAGAGACGGTGACCTTACTGAACTTTGGTTTTAATCTCATATCACCTACATTCATGTAGGTTTTCTTGTATGTAGGATATGATAATTGACTCATTGTAGGCCTAAGTGTATTTTGACTTGATCCATTTTGTGGTTTCACACTGGGATAATGTTCGTGTGAACCCTCGATTTATGATCACCTTTCAAAGGGTACTGAATGCGACTTCTTCAGTGGTAAAACTAATATTTCATTCGAGATTATTTTAATCATTACACATGACAATCTGTGGTGTCACAAAGCTATTAGCTATTGTTAATGGGAACCTTATAAATTGCGAAACTTTTATTTAGGCCTATTTATTTATTTTGACAATATAGTTTTATCATCTTATTGTATATCGTTAAATGAAACTAAAGTTAGTCCGTATGCTATGGTAAGTTAGAAATAACATTTCACGTTTCTAGGTCTTTATATTATTATAAACACCACATGCAAATCATGTTGCTCAGTGGTGATTTTAACATTTCTATAATCAATAACATTAAGGTTGATCTTATGTCTACGATTAGGCAGTTGTTTTGGCGCGAGTGTCTTGTCTTATAGCCCAGACGTTTATAGTAAAAAACAGCCAAATAAACCAGTACTTACTGATAAAGTAACACAAATAACAGAGACAACTGCATTAGATTTTTTTTAAAAATTATTATCGTGGACTAATGAAGGATTCTGCTTTAGTTCCTCATCTGAAACAACTGAAAAAAGGAGATATAGGAAAATGGGGGACAGTCTGCTGTCGGATCACACCCAGCACCGCCACAGACACCGGTCGGTTTCCATGTGTTGTAATAACTAGCGGAGTTGTAACGGAGCGCGCGGTATGAAATGACTAACGAATGCTACACAGCTGTGCATATGTGCTAAAAGTGTGTGGAATAATAGGCTACAAGTGGCCTGCTCGATAAACAAAACACGGCCGTCTGCCAGATTCACTCTGGTTCGGTAGAAGTGTCATTTTCAAGGGGCGGACCGGTTGTTATTTGTTCCCCTCTTAGAGTCTGAGGAAAGGGGTGTGTAACGTCAGTGCCACCGACAAACTTTAAACAAGCACCTATAATCGAAAGTCAGGTAAAATATAAGACAATGGCAACACCTTTAATTAAGACGTCACTAGCAAATAAGCGATATATCTATATTTAACAGACTTTTTTTAACCACGATAAAACAATTAGTACGACATTCGATTCCGCTTTTGTAATCCGGAAACAAACTATTCTTCGACATTAGATATCCGTGCATATATGTATATTTTTAGATTTTTGTTAGAGCCAACACTGTTTAATAAAACATGTTCTGATTCTGCTGGTGTTATCCCAAGCTAGAAACTGGTTGCCAAGCATTGCATCATTCCTTTCATGTGACTCCCATACGCCCCAAATTCGTCCTGGCCGTCTTATGACTGCATCACAGTTGCTGCTCGTACAAACTATACAGGCTGGAGTGAGAACAGGCAGCTAAAACGACACCGCCTCACTGCCAATTTATCATCACCCCATTGGATGTCGTCAAGGTAAAGATCCCTACTCTGCCCTTCTGATTGGACGGATTGAACGCCAGGCATTGCTTTGTATGTTAGGTTGTGGTGACGCTACCTACCCTGGGTAGTTCGGTTGACGTCTCACTCAATATAAACACCGCCGGGAGTTTCCGAAAAACCACATTCAGCTGTCAAGACTGAACAATGGTTAACATGAGCTATCACCAATTTTTACTGAAATATCCACATTCGATTTCAAGGCAGCCGAGAAGACGAGCGAATAAAAGAAAGAAGGTAAGTGGAGATTCTTAATAGTTTTGGATAGTAGTTAATTAGTGTTTTTCAGTCTTTCGGGGAATAATGGCTACCGAACTTTAAGTGGCCTGGTGTAACTTAGGGTACTGGTAAGAAAATGTTTTTGGCCCATATCATAGTGCCATTTTTAGAGTAACAGTTGTCTGAATCAGTCACAGTTTACATCGTGTTTTTTTATGCGTTGTCTGCTTTGTGTGCCAAGTTGTCCAGCACATAACGTTAGGCTACGGACTTCGAGTAAGGAAGTTTTCAGGCTTTGACTGCAGTGTCAGACGTTTTAAAATATTTTGTGATTATTTTTATCTTATTTTATTTGCAAAGCTACAACTTCAAATGCTTCAAAGATTTGAGAATTTTAAGTGTCATTTTAATTTGAACGTGTATAAAGTTAACATTTTTTCCAACCCAATGTCTGACGGCCGACAGTAATTGGTCTGGCTGTTAACGCGACACTGAAACGCTTTTATGTTTCAGCTTTGTTTATTTTTCATACATAGACAAACTGACGGCAAATATCTGCCACTGAATGAACAGATGGTTATATTCTTCTGTCGCTCTTTCTCAGCCCACTCTTTTCTTTTCTTTGTACGTTTCCTATTGTTTCGCCCATTTCTCCTGCTGCTCTTACATTTCCATGACGTAATTATCTTGGCTTGGAGTGGACTTGTGGTCCCACAAAAAAAAACAACAAAAAAACATGTAAAATAATTTTTAAAAATGTGTACGTTTAATTTACCAAACCAAAGTTTTACTCTGTGTGCTTTCCGCCACACTGGAAGTTTAGCATTTGGCATCAGGTTATTTCCATTCCTTACCACTTGTAATGTAGCAATATACATTGCCTATATAGGATGTTTTACGTTTTACAACATTAAAGTAAAAAAGCAGAAATTCTTATTTATGTGAAATGAGGATAAAGCAAACCACCATAACAGTGACTGCATTGGCCTTTTGTTTAGTACATTTGTTTTAGGAGCTATAAACAATTAATAAAAGCAGCAGATGCGACTGTCAGAGCTGGAGAGATCAATATTAGGATTTACTCATTGATTTGACCACTTGTTTATAGATGCCAACGAGTTTTGAGGACCGTAGAAAGTAGAGGGCGCAATAGAGCACATTTTGGTCTTTGTTTACAAGAATTAGTAGAGGGTTTTTTTTCTCTCTGTCCATGTGATTTATTTTATCATTTTATCAATTATTTTATTGGCAATTTATCATTGTTCATTATTTTTGAAAGCAATGAATGAGCCTTTATTTCAGGCACATTCCTAAACCAAGCCTTCTCTGTATTTGTGTAGATCACTATTTTGATTCTGAAATCTCAGCAAATTTAAGAGGAAACTTTGACATTTTTACACCTAACCTATCAAAAACTTTTTTTTTCTTTCAGATTTGTTGGGACAAGCTATCTCCAACAAATTGGCAGACTTGATTAACAGAGGCTTTATTAAGGTAAATAGCTTTTCTCATATTTGACATTATGAATGCTTCATGTGAGTTTGGCTATTTTACTATTATCTGTGTTGTGCAGTTGAGTTACTGAAAGTTTTTATTACATTTTTTTCCATCTTTAGATTGCTTTTATCAGCAATTGTACTGCAGTATAGTCATTTAATCAGTCAGTGTCACTGTTATTCCAGCTCCCTGTTAAGTGGACTACATGGTGTACTGTACTTTGGTCTAGTTTGTTTTATCACAGAGTATATAATTATAAAGTTAAAAGCTTCTTGCAGTATGCTCAGTAATGACCTACGCCATCCTACATCCCTGCATACTTACAAACCACCACTCAACCAGCTGCAGAACACTGATGGATAAAATGAATGAGCAATACTCCCTTTCCTATTTTCCCAACCGTCCTGTGTCTGGCGCCTGCCCCCCCCCCCCCCCCAGGCCCCGGGGGAACCGGGGGCCGG